TTTTATTAAATAATGTTTGGATAAATATAAAGAATAAAATATATTATAACTAGGTTTTTTTATAAATGAGAAAAAAAAACTGAGTGATTTAACTACCGCAATTAGAATATGAAGACCATAGTGCCACAATCTTAATACTTGAAATTAAAAAAAAATAACACTTAAAATAAGTCTTTAATATATAACTTGTTTTTGTTTTGAGTATATATATTTTTTAACTTGCATAAATAATAAGTTAAATGATTTTATTTAAGTCCTAAAATGAAATATTTAATTTGTATTTCTATTGAGTTAAGTCCCTTGAATATTTTCATTATTTTTTGTCTCTTGATTCTTTTTTATCATAACAATTTATATATTTTTGTATTTTATGAAGATGTATCATGTCAATGTAACACAATAGAAGAAATTTAATACCGATTATTGTTTAATACTCAAAATCGAGTGAAACTTGGAACATTTTAACAAATGCGTAAATAAAATAATTGACACATATGACACAAAGAACTTAAATTAATATCATTAATTTTTTAAGTACCCAATTAAAAAAAAATACTAAGTACTAAAAAAAGAGATAAAGGGACTTGAAACTTTTATAAGATAAATGTAATTAGTGATAAAAAAGAGTATTTGTTAGACTAGTAAATCAACAAAAAGTTTTACAAAATTAGGAAGAAAAAAAAGGTTTCTCCAAAAAATAAATCTTATGAAAAATAAAATGCGGAACTATAATTTATCTTACACAAAGCAATCCAACCATAACATTAGAACAAAACGGGAAAGAGAAAAAATAAATATATTTTATAGGTTCAACTATTGGGCAAAGATACAAAATGAAAAGCTGTTTGTATGAAAGTAATAAGAAAGAAAACCCAGAAAAACATTAGCCAAAACTAAAAAGCCATGATCAAAATCTAACTCATTTGTTTATAAAGTGACGTTTTTCTTCTAAGTGCACGGCATAGAAGGAGCGAGGGTGAACATGACCACATGTTATTGGGTGTAATGCCATTTTTTGTCGTCTTTAAACCCACCCTAAACCTATTTTCAAATCCTTTGTACTTATTAAACGATACTATAAAATTTGAAATTTTGTCATTTACTTAGTGTAGAAGACGTGGAGAAAAGAAATGGTGGTCACTATCAAAGTTTGAAAGATGAGGTTTTAAATGGTGAACACCAATTGCCAATAATGTCAATGATAGTGATACTTGCATACTTGTTTCTTTGTTGATTAATATTATAAGCATGTCTTATTTATTTATTTATTTATTTTTATCTCTTTCTCAATTTTCATTGCCAATCCTCTACCAAACAAATAGAACAATGCATATTTTTCCCTTTTCTCTTCTCTTTCATTTTCATAGCGCATCCAAACATGTAGAAAAAAAAAATACAAAAAACAGACTACTTGGTTTAGTTTCACATGTTTTCTACTTTGAATCCTCACAATGGTTGTCTTTTGTTTAGGCAGTACAACCGTACCACTCAAGTTCAATCACATAAGAATTCCGTACCATAGTCGCAAGTTAGCAATTGCGAGTCAAATTTTGCTAACGTGTTACTGCACTATTTCACTTATACACGATGAAAAGATGAATGAGTTTTGTGTTTGATTTTATCTATCTGAGTAGATTTGAGTAGATTTAAAAGTGTGAATATGAGGAAGAAAATAGATAGAAAGTTTTTAAAGAGATGAGATAAGAAGGACAATTTATCTCATATATATTTATATAAATAACTTAATTTTTAATAATATATAAGCTAAAATTTTGCATTATTGTTGAAAATAGATGTTTTTATATGCTTAAAATTAATAATACATAGATATTTTTAAATATATAATTTACATTAATTAGAATTTAATTTTATAAGTTTTTGAATGTTTAAATTTATAAAAATGTAAATATGATTGAATATGGAATGCATGGGTTCAATAATGATACTAATATGGCTAACGTGGCAACAAGAGCAGTGTGTATATATAAATCACATATCTCTTGAGAATCTAAATTGTGGTACCACACTCACACTAGGGCTCCACCAAGGTTATAAATTTGCATGTGACATAAGAAGCCAAATATTGCAACAAAGCTTTTTATTTGTTTTTAAAAATCATTGTAGTACCTTAAGGTGCACTGTTTTATATCACGCATTTTTTTCTTACGTTAAGAGTTTGAAATAGTTTTTTTTTTTCTCATATACGAGGATCATGTTTTCTTTCAAGTAGTATGTTCTTAAAAATATTATGAATATATTTGGTATATGTATTTATTAGATACTACTGGTTTTTCTTCCGTTTATACACTTTTTTTTTTAAATATATATATTAAAAAATAAAATATTCATAAACCATCATTAATATTAATTTAAAAATAATATGAAAGTTTTAATCTACAAACATTATATCTCAAATATTATTAAGAATTAGACAGTTATATAATTTTCTTTATAAAAATTTATATATTTTTTTAAATGATGCGAAACGCAATTGTTCATTAATAATTATATGGAATGTCTTTTTTAATTGATGTTATATGTATATTGTGTAGTAGTGAATAAATTAAACATGTGAATATTTTTAAATTAAAATTAATCAAAATTGGGAAGAATGGATAAGAGAAATACTTTTACTTTTGTTAAAAAAAAAAATGCTTGGATTGGAGAACTTAAAAGAGATTTCAATAACAGTATGGCACTTACATAAAGAAATCTCATGTTTCAAAAAATATAATTATTCGACAACACTAGATTACAGGGCACGGTTGTCACAAATAACTAAAAATAAAAGTAGATTATAAGGTACACTATCTTAATGCTTTCAAAATACCATGGATTGAAGTAAATGGGTGTGAAATTAAGCGAACCGGCTCATCACAGTTCAGTTAAAATTATACAACCTTAACTCGGCTAATTAGCTAAAATTAGATCATTTTAACGAAATAATTTATAATTTAACTTAATTCATTATGAGTTGATATATTACGTGGATTAACTTCCTACCTTCCTGCTTATAAGATCTAAGGACTAAAAATACGAGAAAGTTGATGAACGCAATAAAAGTGATTGATGCAACAAGATAAATATAACAAACGTGATAGTGGATACAAAGGGCACCATGAACGACAAACAACACTAGTATAACAATCTTGGCTGATTATAAGTTTGGAGACTTGTAATATTATAAATACAGGACAACATAAATAAATGAAATAGATTTTTATTAAATTATTAATTATTTTTTAAAATCTAAAATATATTGTGAATTAATTCACCTTAATCTTGAGTTAAATTTTATTTATTTTAACCCATATTTGATAAAATTTAAAAAATATCCAACTTAACCTGACTTAAATCTTTAATTTACGATTATAATTCATATGGAGAAACTAATTATAAAGCAAATTGCAATTATTCAAATTTTTTTATATAATTTACCATAGCTTCTCGTGATAATTTTGTAAATAAATTGTTAGTTCTGTGACCAAATCTATTTATTTAGTTTAATTCTTAATGTTAAATAAGGAGTGAGGTGATAAACTAATGGATCAAAAGTTCAAAACTTGTCCATCAAATAGTAAACAAAGATAGGATATATTTGTCGTGTATTCTCGTACTGCTTATTTTAAAAAACAATAATACTCTTATTAGTTTTATGGAGCTTAAAAATATTTTTTAAAGTATTTTGAATTGAAAAAATTGATAAAATTTTGGATTAGTGGGTCCAAAAATATATATTTTTTAAAATTTTGAATTATAAAATTAAGAACATAATTTTTCCATTATGGAAAAATTAATCTTATATATACATATATGATTTAAATTTTTCAGAATACTTTTGGAAAACTTATAGAACAGTGAATCTGAAACCTATTTTACAGGAAGAGCAATATTGTCTTTTCATGGATATGGGGTGCAGGAAGCACCAACTTAAAGATTGACATTACTTTATTAAATGGGCCCAACTGTTTGGTTGAACAAAGAATGAGTATGCTTAGACAAAACCAATAATTATTGACAAAATAATTACACACGCTTTCTGAAAATCTTCAGGCTAATACTATATACACTCCCCTATTTTACTCACACACTTAAATAGTAAAGGCCCAATAAGGAAACTTTGGTTGTTGGGCTATTCATGTATGGGTGTGGGTCTAAACTGACATTTTACAGAGAATGTAGATGCAACTTCTGTTTTTGTTTGGCACGATATATGGATAACCTTTTACAATTTTTATGATAATAATTGATAATCATAAAAAAAATATTGTATTTGAATCATACAATATATGAGACAAAACGTGAAAAATAAAATAAAAAGGGAAAACTATAATAGATTAGAAGTTTATTATGATGTGAACAAGAGAAGTTATACAATAATTGTTTATTCTTGAACAGTAATAACATCATATTTTAATACTTCATGATAATAAGAAAGTTATATTCTCACGATGTGATTTTTTTTATAATTTATATTTAATTCTTATTTTAATATTTTTAGTGTTTTAAAAATAATCCTTAATTATATAAAACTCTGTACACTAAAAATAGAAATAAAAATAAAAATAATCAAGGCATCTTAATGTTAGTGAAAATCTGAAAAGGAAAATAAATTTTCTTGAGCCCAATGAACAAAACTGGGCCCAGTGAGCCCATTATGGAATTCCACCTCACCATCCCAGTTCCCACCCTTTCCCCTCGTTTTATGATTTGGAGTACAGCCTGGTTTGAATTTCGCTTACAACAGCGAACTCCCTCAAAGGAAATTACTAATGTGCCCCAAACAGTCCCTCCATAGCCCCATTTTCTACGCCAACGGTCACGAGAACATAATAGTAATTGCACCCTCACATAAAAACCACCACCGCTAAGCGTAGCAAACCACCACCGGAACGAAACCAAATTCTTCTCTTCTTCTTCTCTCTCTTTCTGAACGGGATCAGACAAACCCTAACCCTAATTCCCAATCTAACGATTCCTCTGATTACGTCGGAGCGAAGATGGGCGATTTCAACCTCGCCCTGGTCATCGTTGCGGTGGTGGTGTGCGTGATCGTGTTCATCGTCAACTTGTACCTCTTGGTCAACTACCAGCACCCCGACGACGCAAACCAGGCCTATTTCCCCAAATTCGTCGTCGTTTTGGGCCTCTCCATCGCAGCCATCTCCATCCTCATGCTCCCGGCCGACGTGGCGAACCGCCAAGCCTGCCGCCACGCGATCTACAACGGCGCGTGCAGCCTCACGCTCCCCATGAAGGACCTCTGGCTCGCCGTCTACATCGTAGATGCCGTCCTCGTCTTCTTTGTCATCCCATTCGCCATGTTCTACTACGAGGGCGACCTGGACAAGTACTTTTTTTTTTCTTTGTTTTGTTTGAAATTTGAATTGTTGTCAAGTGTTTCGTGGGTTTGAATGAAATTTTGTGTTGGGTGTTTTTTGCTTTGTGTGCAGGAGTGTGGGGAAGAAGATTAAGAGTGCGTTGATGTGGGTGGTCTCCACCGCTATAGTGTGCGCCCTCATTCTGGGTATTTTATACGGTATGAATCACGAATGTGATGGATGCTCTTGTTTACTTTGGAGTTCGTGCTATGTTATGTTACTTATGTCTCCTTTTACTTACTCGTGTAAGGTAGGACTGAGTACTGCTTTTCGTTTTAGTTGTAGTGTGTTGTCAAGGACTAATAATTGTGGAAATGGGTTGGGTTTGTTTAATTGGTGTGTGATTGTGCGGTTTCTTGAAATGAAAATGAAAGGTGGATTTCGTGTAATTGTGCATGTGGGGAGAAAGAGTGGGACTTATCACATTTGAGGGGTGTTGGAAGTCCCACAGCCTAAGTCATTTGGTACATTATAGACTACTCCACTTATTGCGAATTGGTTTTATGTTGAAACCTTAACAAGGGGTTTTAGGTTTCTCTTTGTAGTGATAATAGTACCGAGAAGGTTTTGTGAATGAAACAATATTGGGTGCTGTGGTTCTTGGCGTTGAATGATAGACAGGGAGGATTATTGTATTAGCCAAATTATAGTGCATACTGCACTGCAAGCAGGAGCATGATCAAAGTTTATATGAGTGAAATTGTGTTAAGGCATTGTGGTTCATATTTTGGATGGGGGCAGGCAGGAAGGAGTCACAGACTTGATTAAAAATAAATAAATAAAGCTATTGAGAATTTCAACACATTAGACTTGTTTGATTTCCTTGACGTTCTCCTTTTGATGTAGGACTAAGAAACGGAAAGCCTTCTACACAATAAACAATTGAAATATTTTAAATTGTATTTATAGGTGTAAAAAATATTGCATAATCATCTTTAAGTCATGATTCAGAATTTAATCAATGTTTCAAGAAGGATAGTCTTCTTTGTTCGTCATTTCAAATTCAATTTAATAAATATACAATACGAAAGCCCACCTTAAATCTTGAGTAAATATTTAAAATCTGATGTGGTTTAATCTGAGATTTAATTTGTGTTTATTATGCTTCTTTCCATGATTGATACATTAGGGCTGGTTGGTAAGGTGGACTTTACTGTTAGGCATCTCTCTTCATCAACGACTGCCTTTCCTAGCACATGGACCTTCAATAGTGGTGAACAATGTGTTGGAAATGGTGTCCATCAGGTATCTTTCTCTACTGGTTTATTTTTTTTTGGCTAGTTTGTTGTTTTCAGAGGTAATATTTTTACTGTTGCTAATGCTTTTTTTCCTCCACATTGTCCTTAAACTAGTGCTCAGCTTACTCTGCCAGTCCTTCATCAGAGAAAACATGGACCATGCGTAGTACCTTCCCAGAATATGTTGTTGCACTTGCTACTATAGTTGGATCTGTGCTTTTTGCTGTAAGTTCAATCTTCATAAAATTTAATTTTTCTGGGTTAATATTCGTGCCCAATATTTTGCCTAGGTTTTTAGGCTTTTTTTACCAACATTATTGTAATGGATAAAGGACTACTGTCGTGGTTATACATTTTTCTGTGTGAGACTGAGTGAATCAGAATAAGTTATTATTCTATTCTATCTAGCAATTGAGATTTTGTTAACCCCCTAAAAATATAATAAAAAGTACTAAACAGAAGAAACTGTTTCTTAATTGATATATTTAAATAAGCCTTCTATACTACATTAAGTACTGGTTTTCCTATTCATGATATTTAACCAATGTTCTCTCTATTTCATCCAGATATTTGGCGGTGTTGGTATTGCCTCTCTTCCATTAGGACTTATATTTTCATTTATTCGGCGTCCAAAGGCTGTTATCACTCGCTCACAGTATATCAAGGTGCTAAATATATATATATATATATATATATATATATATATATATATATTGTTACTGAAAGAAATATATTAAATTATTCATTAGGTGTGTGTTTGTTTACCTGATATGTTATATTATATTTATGGTTTTGTTACTGTAGGAAGCCACTGAACTGGGTAAAAAAGCTAGAGAACTAAAGAAAACAGCTGAGTCTCTCCGTCAGGATGAAAAAGGTGGTGCAAAGGGTAGAAAGTTTCGTAAAAATGTGAAGGAAGTTGAGAAGGTAAACAAACATTTTGATCATTTCTAAGTTGTCTATACTTGATTCTTTAAGTATTTTTTGTGGAGACAATTGTTAGCGTGGGCTTTCCATATAAAATTTGATGCTGGCACTGCATAGTTTACAATTGTTGAAGCATTCATGTTTTGTGTAATTATAGTAATTTACTTATCCATCTCACATAATTATGCAGGAGTTGTTTCAATTAGAAGAAGATGTAAAGCTTCTTGAAGAGATGTATCCTCAAGGGGAAAAGGTCCATCATAAATTTTTTTAACTTTTTAATATTTAGGCATAATCATTGTGTAATGCTTTTCCCACTGACTAAGCTTGCACGAATACAGGCTGAGACAACATGGGCACTAACAGTTCTTGGTTACCTGGCAAAATTTGTTTTGGGAATTTTAGGGTAAGCTATATTGTGTGGTGCATGATGGTGCTTTGAACTGTTTAACATAGTTTTATGAAGATTGGTTATTATAACAGGTGTTATGTTTCTTACATGACCTTTGAAAACTATATCAGGTTGATTGTTTCCCTGGCATGGATCGTTCATATTATTATATACCTATTAATTGATCCTCCACTTTCTCCTTTCCTGAATCTAGTTTTCATCAAGCTAGATGATGTCTGGGGTATGTTGGAAAACTCAGGCTATTTTTCTTTCTTTCAGTTATGATGTTTAATACAATAGATAAATCATATTTAATATTCCTTCAGATAATCTAGATGATATATGTAATTTGCTCTTTGTTCATCAGGTCTTCTCGGCACTGCTGCATTTGCAATTTTCTGTTTCTACCTTCTCCTTGCTGTGATTGCTGGTGCCATGATGCTTGGACTGAGACTAGTTTTCATTACTATACACCCCATGAAGTAATTCATGTGCTGACAGATTTATCATTTCACTCTCCATTTATTGGTAGTGTTGTGCCCCTCTTTGTATCTCACATTATGATCTTATATCTGGCAGGTGGGGAGGAACTCTCATGAACTCTTTTCTGTTTAATGTGGGCCTTATTCTTCTTTGCTCCATTAGGTAAATATAGTTCTACTGTACATTCCTAATGGGATGCTATGTTTATTGAAGTTAAAACTTCTACATTCTACCTGTGTCAAAGTTTATAATATTGCTTTTTGTTCTTGGTTTGAACAATGTATGAAGCGTTCCAGTTGGGGAAATTTAAAATGAGGATACTTATGTTAGGCTTTGATTTTCCCTTCTGAAATTAATAAATTTTGAACTGGAAAGGAAAATTAAGTTATTGTGTTGGAAGTGTATTGGAGTATAGCAAGTAGTGTTGTATGTAAAGTTTATGGTACTTGTTATGTGCTGTCGTCATGATCATGGCATACTGTATAACCTTGCTGAAAGTTGTATTATTTTATCTTTTAGTGTGATCCAGTTCTGCTCCACAGCCTTTGCCTACTATGCTCAAGCAACTGCAGCCCAGGAAATATTTGGCCACACTTTGCAGTCTCTTCGAGGAATTAAATATTTGTACAAGTGAGTCATTCTGGATTTCTTCTGCCTCTCCTCCCCTGTCTTCTTGTGGGGCAAAAATGGTTCTTCTTTTTGTTAACTTGTAAATCTAGAGCACACGATGGGCTTATTTCCAATTTTGACTTGACTGTATAATTTGAATTAAGATGAGGGCTTGTAAACTTTGCATAGCTATTGTGTTGTAGCAATAATACACTTGATTTTGACTTACTGGTTCTCCTCCCATTACAGGTACAATGTATTCCAAATTGCGTTTGTTGTTTTGGCTGGATTGACTTTTCTGTATTACGCTGCCTTTGTAAGTTTACCTCTGCAAAGTTAGTTCCCATTATTTAAATGCATTTCACCGATACTATAAGTGTTTTAACATGGAAATATCAGGGATGGAGAAGAAAAAAACCTAGTGGCAGGTTCCAATTATCTACATGAGGGAGGTATGGCATAGCCTGGAAAAGCACTTTCTGGAGTGAGCCATCGGAGGTTCTTTGCATCATATCCTTTAGAGTGGTTTTTATATTTGGATGTGTTTTGGCCTAGTTTTGTTTCATGTTGAAATCTATAGAGCAAGCTGATCATCATCTGAGTAGAATAATTTGATGCGGCCAAATGTTAGTTGGGTGCTAGTGCTGCAACTTTGACCATTGCTGCTTCTGTCGCCGTTGTATGTATTATTCCTTTGTTTGATTGTGTGTTACATTCCACTCTCATTATGTAATTAAACGTATTATTACGTGTGTGCAAAGAGTACCGAATACTTACAAATACTGAGGTAACGCAACCCTTGCCAAGGAGAAATTGTACGAGCAGGGTATTTTTTTTATTTTTATTTTTATTTTTATATTCATACATGTTCTTGTACTTCATTCTTTGTATAGTAGATTTCTAAGTTGAACTTTCAGATTGTGTATTACGGTTTTGAAGATTTTTTTTGCGTTGGATGTGAATTATGTGGCCAGCTGATTTTAGCTCAAGTAGCCATGAACTTTCTCTTCTCTGCTGCAGAAATATACTTTAAATACGTTTGACGAAAAAAAAAAACAATATTAATAATTACATTCAAACAGTATTGGATTATGTAATTATTTGACAAAGTGTAGAGTAGTACTGTACATAAACAGGGATCTTGAAGCGAGGGGACGGCACCATGCTTTACGAGGGGAATTAATTAAAGTAATTAGAAGAGAAAATAAAAAAGGAAAGAGCGAAGGTAAAAAGTTTCACACTTTTGTTTAGAATGTTGTAAATCAATCACTCAAATTCCCTCCAACTGCCTAGTTTGAGTTAGATATATATTTATAATGTTTTGAATATATTTTTTAATGTAATTCACATTTAAAAAAGTTTTTCTTGATATTTTAAATTTACCGAAAACAATTTCGTTGTTAGATAAAATCAAAACAAAAATTAAGACTTACCTTTTCATCCTTGGAATTGAAAAACGGCTTCCAGTGAAAACCAGTTTCTATCAGCATTCACCTCCTCCAATAATTTAGCCTGCGTTTGTTTCTGCGGGTGATTTATTATTCACATATGAAAAAGCAAGTATTGGATATGTTTGTTTCAACACATTGTGAGCAGTGACTTATGGGAGAGTGAGATGAAAGTTTATCCGCTTGAACGGAAAGATTATTCTAGAAACACATATCAATCGAATGATCATTTATGTTTTTGTTCCTCTTTATCTTCTCCATATAAAGACACAGTGCATGAAATCCAGAAACAGTGTGCTTTAAAAAAGCTAAGCATGCATGCATATTTGGAGTTCTGAAAAAGCTTGACATGCATAAAGAGATTTGTTCTTACATGTGCTCCAGAATCCTTGCAGAGGATGACATGCATGAGGCTCACACCATGTTGACCGCGGACATTAATCATGGTAGGTGGAGGTTTGATGATATTAAATATTTACGAGAGGAGGTCAACTATATATTGCTCAGGTGTATTGAGGTTGGGGTAGTTCTCGTTTGCATAAGGATGAGTGTTGGAGGTTATGTGATAGTAATATTCTTCCTCCTTCCACCATGAATAATGCCAAAAGTCTCACATCTTGAACACTCAAGATGAACCAAAATTATTTTTTAAGTTTTTAAAGAAGTTTGACATTAACTCCTTCAAGAAATGTTCTTTGTTAGGAGAAAGAAATCTTCAAAGATACTGGAAAAGTCAATTTGGGGTACAAGCAAAATATGCAAGTTTCACAGAAGTTTTGACTTCATTCTAATGTACTTTAAAAAGCTATACAAGATGTCATATATATAATTGTTCCTCTCTCATTTACTTACTCACCTAAGGAATGTGAGACTAATTTTGCCTTATACAAGTAATGACCAAAGTTTCTAGCTTCAAGTCCCACCTAGACCACTTTTAATTACATTTATGAGTTTATATACCAAAAAATTCTCAAATATTGCAACCAATAGTTGAACCTTGGACCTCCTTTAGTGTTTGGAGTACTTTGGTCGAATTTGAGAAGCTAAAATGATGTATTCCCTTTTTCTTAAAGCCAAGACTTGAACTTAAGTGCAACCCCTTCACGTTTGGGTCTTATTTGAAGCCTAGTATATTGAGACCCAGTGTGGTGAGACCTAACATGACCATCAGACCCTCCCTCTTGAAAAGGATTTGACCTCAGATCCAAATCTTTCCTGTAAAAGAAAACAATTTATTTAAAAGTGAGAGATCTAATCTAGGTATTTATTAAAAGTGAGAGATCTAATCCAGGTATAACACAAGAACTAAGACTCTCCTTGATCCCAACCCTTCTTCAGCAAGTCACTTACTTTATTTTCTATCTCAAGGGGTTCATTCAATGTTCTATTCCCTAAAAGTGGAAGTTCATGAGGTACTTCTTTCGAAAATAGATCATTATTGTCAAAATTATGTTATATCCCATGTGGTAGAAAATTAAGTCTGTAACTTGTGACAACAAGTGTTCTTTTTATGAGAAAAGGAAAAGAGGTTGTTCAAACTTCAGAGGAAAAATTTATTTTAAAATTGTTGAATAACTTTTTTGGAGGGGACACAAAACCCTCAAACCCTATTCCTTCTCAATTCAATTTTTGTTTAAAAGATAATGTTTTTGTTTTGATTTTTTTTTCTCTCTTACAATTTTATTTTTGATTTTTATTTGGTCATCCCTCACTTGTTGAGGTGTAAGAGGACACAAAATTATTTTCTATCATTGTGAAAGAAACTTATCTTGTTAGTGTGGTCATCATGAATAGTTTATCTATCATGTTACCATGGTCTACCAAGTAAAATATGCCCAACATCCATAAGAACTACATCGTACAAAATATTTTCTTTGTAAGTTCCTATAAATATTGGTATATCTACTTGTTTATTAACTATTATACCACCATCTTCATTGAGCCATTGAAGTTTGTAAGATTTTGGATGGGATGTAGAAGTTAAGACTAATTTTTACACCAACCTAGAACAACAACAGTTACAACAAGAATCATTATTCACAATTAAAGAACAAGTGCTTTTCAAAATTTCACATCTTGTGTGAAATAGGTTTTCCCATTGGGATTGTTCCAAATCATGAGGTTGGCTTCCGAGAAGCCTTCGCACTATAAGTAATTCTCCTTCACAAGGGAGAATTTCTTGCTCAGAGTTTAAAACTTCCTTTTCACTTGGTGAAGAATGAGCTTAATCCTCACTTACGATCTCTTGGTCTTTTAAAAGCATAAATTTTTTATTGGGATAGTCAGAAGCATAATGCTCTCTTTCAAGACATCGAAAGCATTGAATGTCTCTAGTTCCAACCCCTTTGGAAGGTTCTTTATTTTTATATTTTTCTTTTTCTTTTTCTCTTTCTCTTTTTTTTTTTCTTTATCCCTTCGTGACCCTTTATCCTTAGATGTGGAAGGGTAACCCTCCTTAAAATCTTCCTTAGAAATAGACATGTTAAGGTAATCTCTCCTATGAGAGAAGAATATTTTCTTTTCAGTTGTTGTTCTACCCTTACACAAAGTTGAACTAGTTCGTTCAAGTCATTATATGACAATAACTCAATTTTATCTCTAATCTCTAGGTTAAGATCACTCTCGAACCTAGCAACTGTAATTTGTGGTTCTTCCCTTTTCCCCGTCCTCATCATTAATAACTCCATTTTTTGTCTGTATTCTTCTATGATCATATTTTTCTGTTGGAGTCGTTGGAGTTTATCTATCAACTCCCTATCATAATAAGAGGACACATGTCTTTTCCTAAGGGCACTCCGAAGCTTATTTCAATACCTAACTTGGGGTTCATTATGAATTCTCTTCTCTTGTACTAGGGAAGTCCACCAATACATTGCATGCCCTTGAAAACTAAAGGTTGCCATGGACACCCTTCTTTTTTCATTAACTTTGTGACACTCGAATAATTGTTCTACATTTATCTCTTAGTCTAAGTATTCTTCTACATTATCTTTTCCATGAAAGGGAGGAAGGTCTACCTTAGGTTCTCTAGGATGATCCACCCTAGTCATAGGTCTCATAGGGGGGGAGTGTTAATAGTAATCATCATTGTAATGAATATTATAAACCTCTATGCATGGTGAGTGAGATTCTTCATGGTGTTATAATATTCTCCTAGAACCCTCACTTATATTTTTAATTTTATGTTTATCATCTAAGAGTTGGGCAAACATAGCCTTTATTTCCTCATCTTCTCTTTTTTCAATTTTCTCTTATAAAGTGCTAAGTTTGTCTTTAACGGAAGAGTGTTTCCTAGATTTACAGTAGCTCTCACCCACACTAGAATGACTTGAAAGTGCATGAGAATGCTCACTCATTTTTTATCAAGAAATTTTCACAATGATTTGAAAAAAAATTTTTCACAAAAAAAAAATGAAGTGACAAAGGTTTTCACAAAATAAGTTTTTCAAGTATATGTGTGACGATCCCCTAATACCAAAGGAAGGTCAACTAGTCATTAAAGACTCACTTAAATTTCGTCATGAAAAAATTAAATTCTACTTGTAAAAATTTACACAAAGTAAACTAGATGAAAACCTAGGGTGAAAGTTCAAGTGACACTTAATGAGCCTCTCGGGACACTTCCACAAAACTAATTCGTAAAACTATTAAAATGTTCAAAGTAGGAGATGAGATTGTACCAAGGACATTTTCCCAAGACACCCACAAAAGAAAAATTTACAACAAGAATTATAAAATAACAAAATCCGTGAAAAAATTACAACAAAGATTTTAGCACGAATTTTTTTTTCAAGTAACATTTTTTGTGACGAAAATTTTGCTACAAGGCTTGTTTTGTGACAGAAATTGGTGAGTTTTTCTGCCACTACTTTAAGGTTCCTCACTTGGTCAAGTGTTTCACTCTTCTTGCATCCTAATTCTTGCTTTCCAAACTTTCTTGAAGAACACCTTCTCCTTTCTTCTTAACAACACCTATGATGCTACCTTGAAGAAGAAGTG